AGGTTTTCAGTTAATGTAATGTAAACCAACTCTCTCTGGGGCAGTTTTCTGCCCATTGTTTGTTCTTATCAGTGGTCTTTTCCCACCAACTTCCTCACGGTGCTGATCAGACAGAATACCTAGCGGTTTCCCACAAGACGACACAAACGTGTGCAAGCTCTAAATGATCGCTAAGACCACAGCACACGTGTGGATTTGCCAGTTGGTCTCTGAATTTCCCTGGACAACTAGGGGCCTGCTAGTCTGTGAGAAGTCTATATTGCCTTCTAAGGTGGTCTCGGCCCTGAGTGTGGCTCCCTGCAGACAGCACTGGACTTGCAAAACCTGGGCATATCTCCAAATCTGCCACTTCCCAGCTATGTCATAGCTTTTGGCAAGTCACTTAATGATTTGAGCCTCAGCTTTCTCTTCTAGAATAGGGCTATTAATAACTGTCCTCCCTGGGCTATTTTCTGTGTGGAAGCAGTTTTTAAGCTCTCTTAGGAATTATTATTTTAGAGCTCAGAAAGCTACCTCCAGGTCCTGCCCAGGAGACCGATGGCAGTTTCTGCCTATAGGCCCCTCTCATTCAAAGCTGGGGTAGAAGAAGCCACAATCATGGTCTTCCCAAAGACAAAGGAATACTATTGAAACTAAATAGTCACCCAGAGCAATGAGGAAAGCGTTTGTACATTTCCACATAAAACTGTGGCATAATATAACCCCTTTCCTCAAGAATAATATCCTTTTCCACAGATGAACTAACGGAAAACAGTGAGTTTTCAACGGTACCACTATCTTTTGCTTTTGACTTTTTCCTTGTTAGAGCGGGGGATTATACACCAACATTTCCAGGCACTTTTAAGATCATTATCAACAAGTCAAATAAATGGGGTGTACTGTTCACGGGTTAGCTGCTGGGGAAGGCATGAAGCTACGTAACAACTGTCAGAACGATATGTCTTCTAAGTAGGAAAGTACAACCAGCAACAAAAACTCATAAACTCTAACGTCTGGCTCTCAGAACATCATTCAGACTAATTTCAGAGATGCTTGAAAATTTGTATGATCAGAGCTTTTTCTTTTTTTTTTTTTTTTTTTTGAGACGGAGTTTCACTCTTGTTACCCAGGCTGGAGTGCAATGGCGCAATCTCGGCTCACCGCAACCTCCACCTCCTGGGTTCAGGCAATTCTCCTGCCTCAGCCTCCTGAGTAGCTGGGATTACAGGCACGCGCCACCATGCTCAGCTAATTTTTTGTAGTTTTAGTAGAGACGGGGTTTCACCATGTTGACCAGGATGGTCTCGATCTCTTGACCTCATGATCCACCCGCCTCGGCATCCCAAAGTGCTGGGATTACAGGCTTGAGCCACCGCGCCCGGCCTGATCAGAGCTTTTTCAAAAAAGTAATGCATTGCTCAAAACAAAACAAATAGATATGGAAGGAAAAGGAGGGAAGAAGCAACATTGTATTGTGTACTACTGGTTAGTTTTGTGTGGCACCAAAGAGAACACAGGCCCCAAAGGCTGGCTCTGCTTTAAAGTCAGGGGTAGCTTGTAACAAACTGTGATGCAAGAAATGTAAGACCTCAAGGGGTAATGAGCTCCTCCACACAGGTGATGTTTAAGTAGAGTCGAGTCAGAATTAGCACTTAGCGATGAATCTGTACGGGAATTTTAACACCAAGTGGAACAGATGACTGGGAAGTCCTTTCTAATAATGAACTTAGACTCAATAGGAAAATAAAGATGTCCTGCTTGTTCTCTTGTGGAGGGTCAAAAGACAGGTACACTTGCTGCGAGAATAGAGGATGTCGCTGTGGCTCAGTAAGAATGCTCATTCTTTGTTACAGTAAAGTTCATGGAGGGCTGTTTCATACTGTGCATGTTGGATCATATTTTGGCAGATCATCTTCTCTTCCACTTATAAAAAGATGGAAAAGCAAGTAAGTACTTATTTAGGCGTCCTCTATGCCGTTTTATTCCCACTGAGCCTGCTTATCTGGAAGCCTTTTTTTTTTTTTTTTTTTTTTTTTTTTTTCTAGTAAGAAATTTCCAGAAGCCATGATATTTTGGCCAATGCAGCAGGTCTTCTCTGAGTATAGCCCGTGTTTCTCCATTGCGTCTTAAATACTCTTTTCTCAACTTCCAAATTAAGTCAATGAATCAGCTCAAGATTTCTCGTCAAATTGTATTCCCTCCATAAAAGTCTTAGTAATGTTACTGGAATTACTCTTCCTGATGCCACATTCCTTCCCACTGAGTAAGTAGAGATTGAAGCTGTTTGATCTTATTACAGTTCGCCTGAATCAAAGTTACTTAGGTGCTGATTCTCTTACAGTGATTAGTAGGTAATTACTAAATTGAAGGGCTAAGGTTTAAGGATGTTGGAACGACAAAAAGAAAAGAAAAATGTGGACTCCTAAATGATTAGTGAAAGAATCTGCTCACTTGGTCTAATGTGCAACATCTCCAGGTACAAATATTTGAGTACAGAATGCATGAAGTGAATCTCAAAACCAGTAAATATTTATGTAGAAGCTGTATTCATATACTTATGTAGAAGCTGTAAAGTGTTCATATTTAGTATGAAAATATGGACCAAAAATGTCTTATTCTTAAGAAGACATGGATAAAAGGAAAGGGTTGAATGGATTATGAACTGACCCAGAAGTGGGAATCTCATGGATGGCATATGCATTAGCTTGCTTCCCATTTTCAGAATGAATTTGATTTTGGCAACATCCAAAATAGTACAGAACAAAAAGTAACAGAACTGTCTGTACACATGGGAGTTCTGTCCTTATGTAGCTTTTACACTTCTGGGTCTGAGGTTTCTTTGGAGAAATTCCCTTTGGGTGATTCCAATTTCATTTACTTTCAACCCTAAAGAAAGCCTTTCAGCTGAGCCTGACCCAAGTTGAACTGCCAAGTTTCACTGGGTACATTAAAAATTAGAAACTATGTTTTTGTCCAGTTTTTAAAGAAGCAGCAGACAGTGATGGGGCTTGACACTATGTCAGTACATGAAGAAAAGCTGAATGAGTTGGTGATACTGGACATGAGGCAAGGATTTGGACGTTAACACTTGTTTTGTGCAGCTATAGAGTTAGAACAGACTGATGTGAGCAATAATACATACTGGCCAGGAATAAGAAGATAAGGGATGGTAATTCGTCAGGAAACTATCAGAGAAGATTCGGATCTTTAAAAGGGCCACGATTCTAATTTATTTGGAAATAGCATTAGTGTTTGATGTCAACTGTAACTCTCTAAAGTGGTGCAGAACACAAATTGACATGGTGACACTTCTCATTCTTGGTAGGACATTCCATTTGGAGGGCTAAGAACTGAATTTAGATGCTACCTTCAGTGCCAAGTTGACTGAATTGTGGCTGTTTAATAAGGTTTTTATTTAAGGGCATTAGGTAAATACCCACCAGAGTTAAATGAATAAGTATTTCTCTGGCCCTTAAGTGCATGGATAGCTAGGAAAATTAACAATGCCACGTAACATGAAAGGCTTAATGCCATCATCTGAAAGTATTATAAAGGAATTAGCTGCAGTGTTTCCCCCTCTCTCTAGCATACATAGGTGTTTATAGAATATTAATTTTTATTTTGAACAGAGGCTAGAAGTAGAGATATTTATCAGTTAAATAACAACCAGAAGTTAATAGCAAAAATTTAGCACTTTTTTGTAACTTTGCGGGGAACCTGTCATCAGTTAAAAGAAAAAAATGCATCTTTTACCCAGCTCTCCACAAAATAGGAGAAATGCATGTTGTAAGTAAGAAAGAGTCCACAACTTTCTGCATGAGGGCCAGGAAAATAAAATAGAAAAGGGAATTAGTGTCCTTTTTTCTGGATTGAAGGGAAATTATGCCAGTAATCTGTGATCTAAGAAAAACTCTGGTGCTGTCCAACCTGCTAAAAAATATTTTAGTATCAACTATTACAATATAATATTAGTCTCATGGGCTAAGTGCTAATCTGTGCTAAAATTCTGAAAATGTAATAGTTATTCCTTTGCCATAAGGAAAATTATCAAGTTGCAATGGAGTAAAATAAAATGCCATCATTACAAATATAATTTTTTTGTCGTTAAATGGCTTTAGACTTAAAAAAAAAATCTTAACCTCATCTTTGAAAGATTTCTTTGCATACAGTTGAGAAAACCAGATCGGTCATAAATGAATTTGCCAAAAACCTATGACCTGAGTCCCTGATGAAAAGTCATTAAAATGAAATGGAAAGACTCTTATTATCTCATTTCACTTTACTAATAAATACAACCTAAAAACATGGCCTTATAAAGAAGATTTTTATGGATGCCACATACAATTTCTGTTAGCCTTCCCCTTATTAATATAATCATAATTACATAGGATCATAATGCATTAATTTAATTGATAAAAAATCCAAGTACAGCAACACTAATAGGTAGGAGGGAAAGACGGGAAGAAAGGGCGAGAGGAAAGTAGGAAAGAAAATCAGCAGGGGAGGAAGGAAGAGGGAGAGAGGGAGGGAGGCGGAAAGGAAGAGAGGCAGAATTCTCACCAAGTCAAGTAGGTCCCGTCAGGTAACTTTTTAAAGGTTTACAATAAAGCTATGCTATCCAAACAACAGCCTCACGAGAAAAGTTTCATTCTAGTTATCTGGCAACTAAATAACTTGACCTAAAATAGTCACGGTTGCACCATGTTAATGTCTCACTGAGAACCAGTGTTTGGACCACTATTAAACCAATAAAATGAAGACAGTTAAAAAAGACTTGAATGGGTGGTAAAAGTTCAAGCTGAAGTAAGTCTCTGTCTTCATTATGTGACTAGAGCTACTGTAAAATCAAATAAAAACCACTAACATCCAATATGTCACCTTCTGAAGTAAGAATGTTTTACTTATTTAAAGACCTATGAGATACTTCCAAGACAAGGAAAAAATAAATACTACTTAGAATATATTAAGATGAAAAGTTGGCGCTCTCTCTCTCTCTCTCTCTCTTTTTATTTTTAAGTTTCTTTGATAAGTAATATTTTTGAGATTTGGTGGTTACCATTTACATCATTGACACTTCAGTGGAACATTCATAGTAGTGTACATAGATTGTCTGAAAATAAGGCACAAGTGTATGTTGCTCTCTGTCTCCCATGAGAGTGCACCAAATGAGCGATCCCAAGAAATGGACTTCAGGCACATTTTGCAGAGGTATCTTTTTCAGTTTGCTGGTTTCCCACAGATGGCTAAAGCAGGGGTATGGAACATGCTGTCATATTTCATTCATAACACACATGTACTATAGCTCTAGGCAACAGATGGACAATCGCTTGTTTAAACTACAAATGTGAAATACTAAGGTAGAATAGCAATATTTCTAGAAATGTATATGAAAAAATAAAGCCTTTCCAAGCCAAGAAGAATGGTGAGAGGCTCTGAGGTTACATCAGTGTTTCCCTGATCTCCCTAGCAGCTGCCATAATTTCCCCAACACCCTTCAAAACTTGATAATGGAAGGATCAGGGGGCAGCCGACACAGATTTGACAAGAGAAACCCAAACCATATCAAATAGAAATAACACTGTTATTCCTGGCTGGTTCACATTAATAGGATTTTTACTAATTAAAGAAATGGCTGGAAGTTGTGTTTTCAGAGTCCTGTCTATGTTCCTTTAAATCTCTACGATAGCCCCATGGAAAACGCCCTCTCTTTCTTCCTCTGTACCCAAATATAAAATACTTGTTTAAATGTAGTTATTGTTTTATATCCTTGAAACCTCACCAGAAAGATCTCTGCAGGACCTTTCATAGAGAACGATTACAGTGTTGGTAAGTTCACCTTCTCAATGAGCACATAACCAATAAAGTAATTTTGATCAGAGAAGTTGCTCCCACAAAAATAACAATGTGTTAATGACAAGAAAAAGAACCCACATCTTTGAGCTGCAGAGATGCCAGCATCTAATGACCTGATGCCTTATGCTGGGACACATGACTTATTTTTGAGTCAATTTTTTTTTTTAAGCACATGCCACCACGTCTGGCTAATTTGTTTTTTATTTTATTTTATTTTTTGTAGAGACAGGGTCTCATTATGTTGCCCAGGTTGGCGTCGAACTCCTGGCCTCAGGCGATCCTTCTGTCTTGGCCTCCCAAAGTGCTGGGATTATAGGTGTGAGCCACTGCACACCTGGCCTTACTTTAAGCTTTAAAGGCAATTTTCTTTGCCACTGAGACTCCATGTTGAGTCAGTATGGTCTGAAGATCGAGAAATTTAAGAAATCTTATTTTGATATGTTTTGCAGAACCCATGATATAGTGGATTTTTTTCCTTTTCCATATTTCTCTTGTTATACAGAATTACCAAATATTTATATTCTTGAAACTTTTCTAAGCCAGTATATTTTTACAAACTCTCTATTATAGACTCTGTTTTTTTCTACTGTTTATGTATTTAAATCACAACAATTTTGACATTACATCAGCAGACAGTATGATTATAATCATTTAAGTAATACAATCTTTTTCTCTGTTGCAGGCAAAATTTCATGCAACTAAAATATTAAAGAGTGACTTGGCATTGTTTAAATGAAATGATTAATAGGAAAGACAAGAAAGTAATATAAATCATACATTTAAGAAATCCTAGAATAAAATGTGATAGGATACTCTCCTTATTATACCTAGTGAAAGGAAAAAAAAACCCCTAAATCTAAATATTTCTACATATGTATGAGTGCACATTCATTATTATGAAAGTATAAGTCTATATTAAAAAGAGATTTACTTAAAAAACCTTTGGTAAAGATACTCTGAGGTTATGTGATAAGAATGCCTAATAAAGATTGCAAGCAAGCAGTATTCTGCTGACAAAGCCACAGGGTCTGTGACGGCATTTTCTTACAGCTTGTTCTTTTGACATGTAAACATTCAGTTACACAAGCATTCAAATGTAATAAGCAACTAGAATGTTATTGCATTTTATAGTATAAATATTCAATACATTCTTCTTCTTTTGGCAAAATTAATAATAATATGACCACCTTAAGAGATAAAATCTATCCCTCAATAAATCAGACTCTTTGCTTTGTCCTAAAGAGAATTTCTCCTAAAGTATCACATAAAAATGTACTAAATCAATTTAAGCTGATTACATTATCAGCCCTATTGTCAGTCAGTGCTCCTTGAGGTTATCAGCATGGTCTGGCCTTCAATTTAGAAGACAGGAATTCAGAGACATGTTGACATTGCCTCTCAAAACGCACATGCTGCTCCTAAGTGAATCTCATCATATTTCACACTGTGAGAAATATATGATCAAAGATAAGAGAAGCAGGGTAAGAAAAGGACAGTGGTCAAAGGAAGCTCTTAAAAGCTGTAATTTTGGTGGTTCTAACACAAAACGGTTTCGTGACAAAAGCAAATGAGCCATACATTAAGGATGAGCTGTAGTGATCACTGGCTTAAGAATTTCTAGTCACAAAAAAAGAGTCACTTTTATGATCATTCCTATTCAAGTAAAATAAATTTAATTGGAATTCCTGAGGAATAGTTTGCAATTCAAAACATGTCTCCATAATTTTTTATTTCAGTTCTGATGTTAAAATTAAATTTTTTAAAAAAAATCACTAGAAATCTGAACATCACAATTATGAAAAAGATAACTGTGGAATAAGGGAAGGGTACATTGGAGGATGTAATTATATTTGCTATATTTGGTGTCTTAAACTAAGTGTTAGGTATATAGGAATTCATTATATTATTCTTTATACCTTTTTGTAGACTTAAAATACTCCATAATTTAAAAGTACATACTTGTGGGAGATTTAAAGAAAGGTTTAAGAAATTTCAATCCAAAATACTTAGTTTACAAAATGGCAATTTGCCATGACTAAGCTAGGTGTCTCTCCTTAAACGAAACATGTTCTAACTTACTAAGCATGGCTTGGCAGTTGGCAAGCAAGTGTTTCACCGGCTAATAAAAGTTTGAATAAAGATTCTAGGCGGAGATTCTGCATATTTTTAGCTCTTAAAGACCATTTTTTTTCAGTGATTGTCTTTGAAAGTGTGGTGTAAATGTCATATTGATATGAAAATGTCTCCTGCGATCTGTAATTTCAGTTGCAGAAGGATTATGAGAATAATGAAACTGTGGTTTCGCAATCTTTTCAAGCTTTCTACTCTTTTGAAAGTGAACTCAACAAAGCTGCCCAATTTGATTTTGTCTGCTCTGATTCGCAATCGTCAGGCAAAACAGACCTGGGCCTAAAAAAGAAAGAGAATTTGAACCGTGTTTTTGCACAGCTCTCATCCTCTAAAGTCAATTTAGATTGTTGTGTTGGATATTAGAACAAACATGACAACATTTCTAAGATGAAAAGTGGGACAGTATTGAAAATGTTATATTCTGGAAGAAATCAAGTTTGTATTACAATGTCCAGGTGGTGTGGAAAAGAAAAATCTTAAGGTAATACTGTGGGACAATAATGGTTTTTAAAACATAACCCCAAAATGCCTTTCCAGCATATCCCACCTGCAATTTCTTTAGAAAACTATTGAAGTTTAGTTGTCTGTCACCACATATTAGCTATGGGCCAATAAGTGTTTTCAAATGAGCCCTGATCACTGGTCACCGTAGATTCTGAATCCTGATGGTTGCAAATGAAATTTGGGCTTGTTCTAACTTATGTAATTTACAACTTAAATTCTTTACAGCCTCAAAAAAGAAAATTGTGCATTTCCCTCCCTAAAAACATGAGCAGTATAAAGCAACAGAAAACATACTCTTCAATACATGGGAAAAGAATGGCTGCTCTTCGTAGTCACAGGCAATATGGAAATGGTAGGATGGGGATTTCAAGGCTAAAAGCACCTGTGCATTGGCAGACTCACCCAGGAAAAACTATGTGACAGCAAATACCACACGAAAAAAGCCATTCAACCAGATGAAAAGTGAGACAAACATAGGGATTAAAAGTTACAGGAATGCAGAAGTGAATGGGATGGAGCATAATCTGTGCAAAAATGTGGAAGTCCTCGGGAACAAAGGCCCATCAAGATCCTACATGATTCAAAGTGAAATGTGTATTTGGTAACAACTTTAAAAAAAAAAAAATCTCATAATTTATGTGTTTCTAAGGAAAGGTTAATAGCAGATGAAAACCAGAAACTATCCTGTAGTTTGATGGCCTTTCCTCTGTTTTCGTATTTCTTATCTTTTTCTTGTGTTCATTCTTCTCAGTGCCAGCTGAACAGGTGACTGAATCTAAAGGTCAGTGCTCGCCTTGGCGGTCAACACCCTGATGCGGGCAGAGTTGCAGGTCTTGCAGAGGATGTGCCCATCCAAGGGGTAGCAGCCTTGGTTATCTCCTTCAGACAGGAGACCACCGCAATCCTGGAACAATAAAAACAGATGGAAACGATGTAAGTAAAAACGTTACGCGCACACGTGGAGAACAAAGGATTGAGCTTTCTATTCGAGGCTGCCGTCATGTGGCCACTAGCCTTCCTGCTTTACATTCCGCTAATCCCCTGTATCCTTTCTCCCACTATGTAACATAGTATATTTCGAATGTAATTGAATTAGAGATTGGCGATGTAAATATAAATGGCGTAAAATACTCCTCCTAAGGTCACTTCGTATGAAATACAGGTGTAAGAAGAGAAGAAGCCACGGATCTCAGCTCCCGTGTGGAAGTTTGCTGCCCCCACGCAAACAACAACAAGAGAGAATAAGAATGTCCCTAACCACCCATTCATTTTTACCCTTTACTGTTTGTTGAAGGATCGCTCAAAATGCCTGCACAGGTGCAAGCATGGAACGTTTTGACCATTTCTGGGCGAGAGCAAGGGTAGACTGATTTCTGTCAAGTGGGCAGGCTACCAGTGGCTTCTGTGTATTTACTTCAATTGTTGTAAGAAAACAAAATCCTGAAGTTAGTGGGGAGAAGTAGTTGGCTCTACTTTCTAAAGGAGATAGCATTGTGTAGAGCAATGACAGCTAGTGTGGAGGACAGGCCTCCTGAGCACCTCCCGTAGTTTTGCCACAGCCTGCCTCAATGCACACAGGCTGATTGCCATTCTGAGAATAACTTCTGCCTTTTCTACCTTACCAAGCTGTTGAGAGTATCAAAGAAGATAATGGATACGGATGTACTTAAAAAAAAGAAAAAGCAAAGAACTGTGTAACTGTGCAGGAATATGCTACTGTTGACAGCTCCACGTAGGGTCCATTCTGAAAAGTGTTATATAACAGTTAAATGCTGGCCTCTGTCTTCGGAGAAAGGAGAAGTTTCTTTGGAAAATAAGTACATGGTACTTCATCAAGAAGTGTGTGTTTGCTAACTTTAGTATGCACTCTCAAAGGCCACAACAGCTATGAAGCTCACCTCTGCTGTCTACCACGGTGGCAAGGAGGTCAATGGAGTTCATGTCTTCATTTGACATATAATGAAATTTAAGTTAACAGGGCATCCAGAACACAACAGCAGCAATGGTTATACTCTGCAGGAAGTCTGGCTTTACCAAAATGAATATGCAGATATACTGCAGCTTTCCAGGCATCCAGGAAACTGAGCAACTAGTAGTGCATACTAACCAGTAACTAAATCTCCATGACTCTGAACAAGAAGTTTTAACCAAAGCCTCCAAGCGAAAGTTAAAGATGCGATATAATAATAACACCATTTCTCACTAATTTAGCATTTTTGCAATTTACAATGCTCTTTCATATACAATTTCGTATTGCATTCTCACAGTCATATTTGGAGGAGTTAAGGATCTGAGTCTTTTTTTTTTTTTTTTCCTGTGAGGAAACAGACGGAGGGAGGCAAATCGACTTATTCAATAGCACTTGCTTTCAATACTAGTGTCAGATCTAAAACCCAGGTCCGATGAGTTCAGGCAATAAGGGCTTTCTGAGATTAAGCAATGGCTACATCGATGTAAACCCAGCTTGAATGCGCCTTTCACTGCCTGCCACAGACTGGCAGGACGGGGGTGTCAACCGGACCTCACATCGGTAGCAGTGAACATGGAAGTCTCGATCCAGAGCCACAATACGGACGGTCTCCTCCTGCCCGGGAGCTGGCATGATAGGCTCCTTGCACACAGAACATCGTGGGGCAAATTTCCTGAAAACGGAGAGAGAGTTCTGGTTGGATACTGAGCACAGACACTGAGGAGGGACACAGAGGTAAAAGGAAAAGGTGGAAACTGAGTCAGGGTATCTGCTTCCTCATCTGTAAGGTGAGAGAGTTAGTCTCGGGGATGGCTGAGGTTCTTCCGTTAACAGACGGTAATTACTGTGATATCTGGTAAGGTGAGAGAGTGAGCATGTGAAGTGCTTAGGCGTGAAGAGCATCTAGCATCTCTTTGCTGCACGGTGTGGGGGTATGAAATTCACCTTTAGATAGATTCTGAAAGCAAACCCCGTGCTTGGGCTAGGCTGATTTGAGGAGAGAACAAAGTCCTGTCCAGCCCCTATTTGTTTCTGACTTTTGCTTCTAGACTTTTCTATGTGCTCCTCAGCGCCTCGAAAAATATCCTGAGGTTGCTATCTTTGCCGTGTTCCCACTTTTTAGAGCTTATTTCTTGTAAATTTGTCTTGACTTTTAGGAATTGACACAAGAAGACTCAGACACATAGCTTTTCAAAAGGGCAGAGGTTAGTGAGTTTGAATATACATTACACAAAACTGAAAATGGCCAAGTCCACATTTCCTACATTTTTTATTGTGTTAAACTTTTGCTTAAAAATAAAAAGTTAAGAGGTTATGGTAAATAAGTTTAATACTTATTACTTTCTTATTATTTCTTAATATGATCAATGGTACCTAACTTTTTTTTTTTTTTCTATGACAGATTAATTGGCTGAAAATATAGGCCATGTGTCTATCTGTATCTTCTGGAAACTGGAGGTGGTATTTGTGAAGGTATGAAATGATACTTGATTTGAAATAGACATGGATAAGAACTGAAGAGATTTAAAAAAGGAAAAGCAGACTATGCGACTCAGTTTTTTCATGGTAATGGTTTCAAGATAAATGCTGTTAAAAATTTATCTATTTGTAGTGAGACTTAAAAAGAAAGAATGATAGTAATCCAATACTTCGCAGAGCACCTTATGGTTGTCAAAGCAGTTTTACACACATTATACTCTATATGTACATATTAATTTTCCTGGTAGCACCCAAAAAGCATCTATATGGCTGCAATCTAAATAAATATAAATTAAGCAGCAGATCAATTGATTGCTATGAAAGAAAAATTAAAAGGATCCTGGTACCACTGCAGCAGCAATCAGAGTTGTTATAATTGGTATTTTATGAAAGAAGTTTATATTCAGTGGCAAAAAAATTTGCTCTGGACTACCAGATTATTTTGAAATCTGCGTCATCAGTGGTGAGGTAAGCCGGCTTCTGGGATCAACTGCAAAATCTCCCCTCCCCAAACTCTTTGAGGGCAGAAGTAGGTTTTCTTTATGAATGTATCCATAAGCCTTCGCCAATTTCCCCAAATAGAATTATTTACTCTTCTAAGATAAAAATTGTCACGAAATTTATTTATTTTGGTAGTGATTATTTGCATAGATTTATGCACTACTAAACTCTAAGCTTCCACAAGATAGGACTTTGCTCCATCTCTGAGTCTCCAGAAACGACGACCGTGGCTGGTGCAGAAATAGGAAAGTTGGGCTCACTCTACTGAAATGAATCTGCCATCTATCTTTATAAAAAAGATATTAGCCGGGCTTTATGTTCAATCTCAAGGTTCTTCCTCTTTAGGAAGACAAACTGTATTCTTGCCGAGTACTGATTCTTTCCTACCAATTGGCCTCATTTCCATGATGAGAAAAAGCAAAGCGAAGAAGCGGGAGGTGGTTCTCCTCATCCCCACACTGTTCCTCGGATAGCAGTTCGAGGAGGGTTTGCAATCCCAGGTGTTCCATTTCAAGGCTTAGCTCACTGAGTGGACGATAATCATAAAAATAAATTTGATGACAACACTGTCGATGATTAAAGCTACCATTTATTGACTGCTTATTATATGCCAAGCCCTGTTAAGCGCTTTACACACTTGACATTATTTTCTCCTGACGGCAACATTATGAGGGAGTATTTTTATCATTTCTGCTCTACAGTCAACGGAGCCAAGGCTCAGAGACGGATGATCTTAGTCCTCTTGTATTCTGGCATGTTTCTGGCAATCAACAAATGGATGCTGATTAAATACATAAATGAATGAGGGTAATATTTCTGATAAGAAAGCACAGACAGGGGAATAAAGCCTCAACACACAGAAAGAGTCAGGTTAAATAAATCTGCTTTCTGGGTTTCCTCACTGGGAATACAAGAATAAGAAAAGACTTCCAGTACAGACCTGAGAGGGAGTTCTATATATTTCTGCATTATTTCTATGAATTTATATATTATATATATATATATATTTATATATATATATATATATCTCCTATTATAAAAATGCAAAAATGATATGATGGTTATTGTAAGGTTTTACACACACACACACACACACGTACACACACATACATACATGTATATTTCTACACCAGACTGTGGTAAGTGCCATCTACAGCAGATGTAAAAATCTCTATAAAACACAGAGATTAAGATATAAATCCAAACATGAGGGGTACAGATCAGGGAAGTTTCCTTTGAGGAAATGGTAATGGAGTTGGGATTTTAAAGATAACGATTTAGGTGAAATGAGAAAATGTGTATGTGTGTGTTACGGTCAGGGAGAGAGACTTCTAGAAAACAGAGTAAGTAGTGGTTGCAGCAGTCATCTGAAATGACATCTGTGTAAGTTTGCATGTCCAGTAGGCTGAAGCACGTGAACCAACCGTGACTAAAGGTGGTTATGCAGAGGATGGTCCATTAACAAGTCCTCACAAACAGTATTCCAGAACCTTGTTACTCAAAGTGCAGGACATGACCACCTGGGAGCTTGACAGGAATGCAGAATCTTAGGCCCCACTCCAGATCTGAATTAGAACCGAAAATTTTACAAGATCCCTCTATGGATTATAGGCACATTAAAATTTGGGAAGCACTGTTTTAAAAGGCAGACTAAGGCTGGATGCAGTGGCTCATGTGTGTAATCCCAGCACTATGGGAGGCTGAGGTGGGTGGATCACCTGAGGTCAGGAGTTCAAGACCACCCTGGCCAACATGGTGAAACCCTGCCTCTACTAAAAATCCAAAAATTAGCCAGATGTGGTGGCAGGTGCCTGTAATCTCAGCTACTTAAGAGGCTGAGGGAAGAGAATCACTTGAATATGGAAGGAGGAGATTGCAGTGAGCTGAGATTGTGCCATTGCATTCCAGCCTGGGCCACAAGAGTGAGATTTCATCTCAGTCAATCAATCAATCAATCAATCAATCAATCAATCAATCAAAGGCAGACTAAGCAAGTGAGATAAATCCCTTCTTATGGGTCTCCTGTATCTCAAGGTAATCCCCACTCCCAGGCTGCTCTAGTTACAGCAAAGCAAATCTCCCTGAACCTAGAGAACTCTTTCCTAACTCCATGCCCTGGCTTTTTGTCTGAGTTGTTCCCTCTGCCAGGAATCTCCTTGTTTCCCACTTAAAACACTCTTGAAATTCTCCTTCCACAAAGCCTATTCTGACCATAGAGCCAGGTGATCTGACTTTGACAGGGCAAGCACTTACCTGTGCCTGTCTCATGGAGTTCAACTTTTTCTCCCTGTCTGCACACTTTCTCTGCCCTCCTCCTGGCAAGCTGCTTGCTGACAGCGACTTCTCTCTATATATATCTGTGCAATTTCTCTCCTGTATCTCTCTCCTTCAGCATTTAATGCAGGAATTGGCACACAGAGGGTTCTTTATAAATGTGAGGTGAACCGAATTAAAATACATTTTCTAAAGGTTCACAGAAAGGGATCCATTCAAAAGGACCACAAACAAGGCCCCAGAAAACTGTCTGGAGCAGGAATATCCCTTTATCTGCCCTCTCCTTGGTCTTCCAGTGACCAATGCTGGACTTTTAGCTGCTTTGTATTCTAGTGATTTTAAGGCTCATAAATAAGAGTTCTGTAAAACAGTTTCTGACTTCCCTTTAGGAAATGGGGAAAGGATCAAATAACTTCTCTCACTACATACCTACCAATCATGAAGACAATATTACTATTACTTTTAATTTATGTTTGAACATGCATTGAACTAGTGGGTAAGGTTAGCAGGGTGTTTTAATTTTTTCCCCCTTTTAGATGCTCCAGTTGGCTTTATGGGAGCTTTCAGACTCACACACTTATGTCACCAGTCACCAGTCTTTAATTATGCTCCCTACCCCTCGACATGAAAGATAAATGGCATAGATATAAACTTACATTTGTCAAAATTGATTTCCTGTTTTAATTGAGGGGTGTAATATATCAGTCTTTTCCAGCAACAGAAACATGTGTGCTCTGATTATATCTATCAGTCTTTCTTGGATTAGGGTAAGTCTAAGAAAGGAGAGAAACAGTGATAACATACTCCCATTGATATCTTTTTCACTTCCCTTAAATAGATGCAGGGTTTTTGTTTTTTTTTAAATGTGTAATTACAAGCTAAAAGTATCAATAGGTAAAGTACAATTTATGCTGTGAGTGCCCTTTAAAAGTGAGTCTTTCCTTGTCTAATTCAGGTTGCAAATTTCTGCCTCTGGGATTTTTTAATTCATTCAACCTCATGTCTTTTGGTGAGGTTTTCATTTTCTTTGCTACTTGGAAAGTGGTCAGGAAAATCATTTTTAAAATGTGAGTCTCAGGTCTCCAAACTGCTTGTGGTAAGTGTTTCCTAGTTGTTGACAATCAACACAGTGGTGAAAATTAACCCACTTGGAGGCCATAGAATGGATACCCAACTTGGTAAGCAATACAAGCTCCATCTCTTTGATAGCCACAAAGGCTGTTTTCAAAGCCACTGCCCAGCAAACAAATACAGAAACCTGAGTCCACCATTTAAAGATCACATCTATAGGTTGAATACAGTCCTTAAAAATATAAAACAAATGTTGGCTGGGCACAGTGGCTCATATTTGTAATCCCAGCTCTTTGTGAGGCCGAGGCAGGTAGATCACTTGAGGTCAGGAGTTCGACACCAGCCTGGCCAACATGGCAAAACTTCATCTCTGCTAAAAATACAAAGATGAGCTGGGCGTGGTGGTACATGCCTGTAGTTCCCAGCTACTCGGGAGGCTGAGGTAGGAGAACTGCTTGAGCCCAGGAGGCAGAGGTTGCAGTGAGCTGAGATCATGCCACTACACTGCAGCCTGGGCAACAGAGTGAGACCTTGTCTAAAAGAGTGTGTGTGTGTGTGTGTGTGTGTGTGTGTAACAAATGTTATCAACCAATTAACTAACAAACTGGCCAAATAAAAATAAGCAAAATACAAAGCTGTATAATTTTCACAAAGAACCCAGCTGTCATACAGAAAAGAAGGACCTAGAAAGGTGAGAAATGAAGCAGCAGGGACATATCTTTTTGGGCCCATGAGTAACTGGCCTTGATCTTGAGGCATCATTTTTTAATCCTCCTGAAAAGAACATTTACATTCATTAACTTTATTAGAAATAACTTGAGAGAGAGAAGACTTGGTTGGAAGAAAAGGTTAGGGAAGGGCGTGAATATATTGACAATGGCATGAAACTGCCTCAGAATATGTGAGAAGCTTGTATTCATAACAGAAACTGAATGGTTCTCTGGGTTTTTCCCCCATAGCGTCTTATCACTAGAGTGGTAGGGATGTAGAGATTAGCTCTGAGAAAACTCTGGGTCCTCACAGCCGAGAGAGCTTCAGGAGAAGGTTTCATCTAATGACCAAATTGAAGAGCTCAAATAATTTGAGCAACGGCCAAATATTACACATTTTGTTCATATTTAGGCCAGGACCCTGTTTCTTTCTAATACATACACACTATGGCTGAGCCAACTTTTTCATGGAGTTACCCAGAGACACAATGGACAAGCTCTGAGGCAGCCTTGATCCAGAGGCCAGTCTGGATGACTGCATGAATTGTCTGATATTAATTCTGGCATTAGATGAGGAAATCAATAAGCTCTTTCAAAGGCCTCACTAAATCCTGAAATTCTATAGTTCTGAGAGAGAAGAGTGTATGCTCAGATGCCAGGCAGTAAGAACAGACTCTAAAAGGACAGGCAGGGTGGCAATGAGAGAGTAGGTTGCCTACTTGTGGAAGTCCTCAATGCAGTGAATGAGCCCGCCAGCATCCACAGTGAATGGGATCCCGTCCAAGCTGCGGTGGCACATCACGCAGGTAAAACAGTGAGGATGATAGGCCTTCCCGGTGGCTCGGAGGATCCGCTCCATGATGGGCTTGGAACACACATTGCACTGCTCCAGAGTATTCTGAGGAAGGAAACAAAAACAGCCTTAGACGGGGACAGAAGGGAGTCCATACTGCATGACAAGCAGCTTCACCAAACAGCTTGTCTCAGGTCCTTGTCACACTGCTCTACGGAAGGCATTTATCGCCATTTACGAATCACATCTACAGCTTTAAACCAGTCCTTAAAAGTACAATACAGATGTTAGCAACCAATTAACTAACAAACTGGCCAAAGAAGTGTAGTATAGAGAGAAAGAAACACAATTGGATGGGTCAAGGGGCTTTTCTAGTATCATTCAGGTAGTAGGTGGCAAGTCCAGAACTGAGAACATGTGTTTTCTGACTTCTATTCTTGTTCCTTTTCTCGTTTCCTACAGCAAGGGTGATGGCAAACTTCTCTGTGAAGTCCCATATAGTAAATGTTTCTGGCTTTGGTGTAACAACTAAATTCTGCTGTTATAGCTGAAAAGCTGCCATAGACAGCCTGCAAACACACGGGCATGACTGTGTTCCTGTAACATTTTCTTTACCAAAAACAGACAGTGGGCTGGATTTGACCCATCGGTATGGTTTGTTGACCTTTGAACTACACCACTCAGCTTCTCTATTTGAAGAATGCTTCACTATTACATCTAAAATTCATTTTCAAAGACACAGAGTGATCACTAAGGCCCCTATCTTTTTACAGAGTCGTCTGTCAGATGACTGGGACAGAGCAAGCTAGATGCAGAACCCAAATCAGAGCTCAGTGTAATAAATTAGGCTTCTGAGCACTTAAAGCCTTGATTCACACTCAGTCTCCAAGTTTAGAGTTCATAAACTCTTGAAAGAAAAGTTGAATGTACAAGGGAGCTGGCTTGCAAAAGTGAATTAAGAAACTCACTTATCTGGCCTTAAAAATTTGCTAAGCTTTAAAAATACATAGTGCCCCTTAAAAGAGGTATCACTTGGCTAGGCACGGTGGCTCATGCCTGTAATCCCAGCACTTTTGGGAGGCTGAGGCTGGTGGATCACAAGGTCAAGAGATCAAGATCAACCTGGTCAGCATGGTGAAACCCTGTGTGTACTAAAAACACAAAAATAAGCTGGGTGTGGTGGTGTGCGCCTGTAATCCCAGTTACTCAGAAAGCTGAGGCAGGGGAATCACTTGAATCCGGGAGGCAGAGGTTGCAGAGAGCTGAGCTCATGCCACTGCACTCCAGCATAATGACAGAGCAAGACTACATCTCAAAAAAAAAAAAAAAAAAGACACACCACTTAGTGAGTTAGGTCTCAGAACGATCGGCTGTTATCTTTCCACCCTCCCCTTTAATCCCATGCTCTTACCAAACCACCACGTTTCAGTTGTAAAACGCTATATTCCAACTGAGATATCTGTACTAACTCATTGAGTTTACAATTTGGAATAAACCTGGGATACGGATCTTATTAGAAAGATGCAGAACTGAATGGGATGTGGAAATTCAGGAGTAACTGCTCTCTTACCATGAGGATATATAAATGGCTATGTAGCAAGAGCTTCTCTATGTAGGTAACTAGTGTCCTCATGTCTAACCTATAGCAATGACCTCTCATTTGGCTTCTTCGTTTGCATCTCTCTTCTCATAATACTCTCCTTGCCCCTGTCTCCAATGACTTCCAGTTTTCCTTTCAAACACAGATGCGACCAAGTACAAATACCTTTCTGGGTAACAAAATCTCAAAGGCTCCACAATCTGAAAAAAAGCTAATTCTTTACGTGGTATTCAACCCCCACCTTGCCTCTTCTAGGCTCAGCTTCTCATAACATCCCAGACTACTCACTCTTATACAAACCTATGTGAAACTCCCATACTTCTGTGCCTTGGATAATGCCTAGATGTATCGCAAATTGCCATTCTGACCTTTCAAGGTACAGGCCAGAAGACCATTCCACAGTGACGCCTTCCTCAGTGGTCCCACCTGGAATGAACAGCTTCTTCCTCTCCCATTCCTGAGCACTTTATTTACTTTGCTGACAATACTTCAAGTGTGCAGTTTATTTAAATTATTTGTGCACATGTCTATTTCCTCTACCAGATTTTCATTTTATTCAGGGAAGAGACTATGCCTTAAGAATGTACTTCTGTGTCCCATATTGCACCCAGTATACTGTCTGAAATAGAAATAAGCCTGAGACGAATGTGTGCAAAAACAATGAATGGAGGAATATTGTTTATATCCCACTCTGGCAGCACAGTGCTGGCCTGACTCCCTTAACTCTGGAATCCATCCCAAGATGAATTGGTAAATCCATCATCATCCTTCCCTCAGAGCTGCGGTTGCCTGAGGTTCTGAAATTGCGTAGTATGCCTCTGGTCACAGTCTAAACGCATGGAAACTATTAACCTATTTGTTTTTCCCATTTTGAAGTGGTGAAATTAAAATAGCAGAAGAGGACGGGATAAGAGTCTGGAGATGATGATGGTTTGAAGAATGAGGGCCTGTTTCTTTTCTACCCTGACAATCTGAGCTAATGTGGCTGGAAACTGTCTTCCCAGGACTTATGTTTTGCTCCTCTGTGGGTTTTTATCCTTTTTTTTTTTTTTTTTTCAAGTCATAATGGAGTTGAATAGAAACTGACCAGAAAATGTTTTTGTTTGCATTGAGGCTTGGCTGCAAGATTCAGCTCATTTACTCAAAACTAGCAGCAATATAGAAGGCTTGGTTTCTATGGAAAGACTCTGTGGTCTATAGAAGCTGTATTCAATGGACAGGTAATACAAACATTTCTGAAACAGACGGGAAACAAGTATAAAATGTGCTTAAAATCAGCCTGTTGCAAAATGTCCCCAGATTGGAAAATAATGTTTCCAAGAATGCAGTCGACGGTACCCCAGGCTAGCGAGTGATGCAGAAGGACACGATACGTTTCTCTAACCCACACCTTTTACTGCAGTCTTCCCCTTTTCAGTCTCCTGTGGGGCCCACTAGCAGCCTTTGAGAAAGGAAAGAAATTCACGATGTCAGGGAGGAGGGCGCTGGGAGTTTCCCTAGTCCAAGCTCTCATTCCACAGGTGAGCAGAGAGACTTTGAAAACAGATCTGTTGGACCTGAGTTGTGGGGAGCATGGGAGGCAGAGGTGGGACTGGTACCCCAGTTACCTGACTCCTATGAATTCAGAGAGTGAGCTAAGGAATTCATTATGCAGCCATGAAAAAGGAAAGTGGCTAGGTGAAGAATGTGAATTATCCTTCTGGCTTCGTCAAAATCTGCTGTATGACCTTGGGTAAATAATTTCTTCCTTCCATCTCAGTTTTCTCATTTGAAAAATGATGATTAATTCAAACTCTGTAATTTTATTAATCTGCGATAAATCAATATTAACAACAATAGGAAAAGGTACATGTTTACATTACTAAATCTATACAAAAACCACTGATAACCCCTTACCAGAGAAAGGGGCGCTCATTTGCTGGAAACCTGGACTAAATCATTACCTTTACTATGCACCTCCACTGATAATTCCAGAAACTGCTAATGGTAGAATTCTAAGGATCACAGAAGGATATTTTTGTGTTATAGATGATTATTTTAAAGCCAGACAAAAAGATGCACTCTTCATATAAATATTGGGTTCATCTGAACTAAGTTAACATGAAATAGCTGACAAATAAAATGGTTTTGTAGAAAAAGACAGTCTTCAAGCAAATAAATGAAAGAGGGATGTCTCTAAATATGTCTATTCAAATCATTTTTTTTTTTTTTTTTTTTGGTCTAGTAGGGTTGCCAGGTTTGTTAGCTGGGGATTTAAGAGGAAAGAGCACCTTCCAGCTTACGAACCTTCAACATCAGCACTGTGCTTTGTCACTGGACTCCTGATCCAGCTTTATAGCTGTCTCATGGACTCCTCCTCCCAGCAGCCACACTGAGCTTTCTGCCACATCTTTAATAAGCAACATTCTTTTACAAGCCCAGACTATCTTACACCCTACTTTGCCTAGAGAATGCCTACTCATTCTTCAAAGTGAAACTCGAATGTCACCTCTTGTGAAAAATCTTGCCTAAATCTTTTTCTGTTGTATTCCAAGCAAAATAAGGAACTTCTTCCACTCCCATAGGATTGTATTATGCGTCCCCTATGACATTGAACACAATGTACTTGATTTAGTGGCTTATGTCAACCTCTATGACTGAACTGCAATCGCTCTTCCCTCCTCCCATGAAGCCATGGTCTGAGGTTATGTTTCCTAGGAAACAGGTTCTGAAACAGATTTGCACACAGTGAGTTATGAAGAGGTGTCCTTGCAATCAACACCTGTGGGTAAGTATAGGAAGTCCTTAAACTTCTTAAACTTCCTATTGCTATTGTGGATACTCTATCTACAGTATCCACAATACTAAGCATCCTTGCCCAGAGACTACAAAGTCCAAGACACAAAGTAAATAATTGGTAACCAGCTGTGGAAGGCCTTTGGCCAAAGCTGAATGAAGAATCCAAATGTTAATCATTTTGCAGCAGGCACTGTTTGAGGATTCTTTTTTTTTTTTTTTTTTTACATAAAAAATGTTTTAGGCTACTCCAATGCAAGTATGCTTAAAGTGAGAAGCTGTAAGAGTAGCAGAAAAAAGCAATTTCTCTTGCTAAAAGTCGCAGCTTATCAACTTTTCTGAAATGTTGGCAACACAATTGTGATTAAAAACAACACACTCAGTGAAACTAAAAATTAAATCACAAATAAACTTTGTAAAGAAAACTCCCAAATGTAACTGTTTTAAAGTCAGGGAAACAATGGGGTAGTATTTTTTTCTATCCTTGGATATTTTATAAATAACTTGTAACTCACAGGCAGAAGAGCTAAAGAATCACCTGAATATAAATGAAGCATACAGGTAAAATAAACATGAACTACTAATGAGAAGATAGAGAAATAAGAATATTACTATTATTTACATATTACATAGATGTATGTAAGTGTTCAATTTTGAGTATTTAAAATCAAGATGTAGTCTTCATTTACATAAGTAATTGATGATTCAGAAGACTATAAAGTGATTACAG